CAATGGAAACCATCATTTCTTGTATTGAAATCCATCCAGAATAATCTCCTCAAAAAGTGAAGCAGAACCATATCACCAACATTACTTGTTGAATATTTTTTTCTAATAGGCAGGTACTTTGAAAGTTCTGACTACAAGACACCATTCCACGTACTTGTGTCAGAAAAAGATCTGAGGGAGGCAGGATTGTTGTCAGAAAATCAGAGTACACCAAATTAGAGATATCTATTCAATGTTCTCTCCACTTTGCCCTCTACAGCTGTAGAGTAGCTGGAGGTTATTCCACTCAGCCTTCCTGTATTGCAGAGCTGCTATTTAATGCTCAGTTGGTCTGTAAAGTTTTGAACCCTTTCATCATTTCATTATGGAAGGGAAGCCAGATGTGAAATGTATGCTAGGGGGATGGTGCAAGGGAGTCACTCTGGTGCATAGAACTGCCATCCCCCTCACCAGGATGTAATTTCATCTTGGAGTGGTCCTTGTGGTGTTGTGCCATAGTGATATTGGGGGAGAAATTCTCTTCAGAGTTAACTCCAGTCTGTAGGATCTCCTCCTGTGCTTAGAGAGTATAATCAGGTTGCTGTGGGAAGGAGACAGTGGGGAGCACCAATTCTGCTAGCACAGTGGATCCCCTCTCAACTGGATCAAACAACGTACCTGCGGGATCTTGTAAAGGTGAAAGAGATCTGCCATGCGATAAGAGATGTCAGCACTCAGTCCCCCAATGACTCCTATAATATTTCCTTGAGTACCACATCTGTAGTTGGGAATCATCTGATGCGATTTGAAGAGAAGGTCCATACTGGCCCGGTAGGTCATCCTCGCATCAGAGTAGCTGTCATAGATCTGGAAGCCAAGAGTGATATTGGGCAGGAACTTGGGATTTTCATTAATCTGTAGGATGGCAAACACCAAGGCCAGGATGTGCTGGTAGAACTTGGTCACTACGCTACAAAGAAAGCAATGTCTTGTAGTTTGAGAAGAGAGGTCTGAAGTGAATGAAATCAAGTAATTGGGTGTAACCAGAGGACACAATCTTGGGAAGAATGCCCAGATGAAGCTCAAATGGGAACAGGGAAAATCTGGTGATGCATGACACACATTCCCTGTTTCACATTGAGATTTGCAGATTTGCTCAAAAGCTCTCACTGTTATTCCACTGTGGTTTTCATTCTACTCTGAGTATATGATGCTATCACAGATCTTCCAGAAAGTGTCACCACTGTGATAGAACGTAATTTTATTGGAATATATAATGCCCCTAGAAATCTTTCAGATCTTACTGAGTCATTGAAGTTAGTAGAAGAGGGAAGGTGATAGTGGGATAATAGAAGAACCAAACACATAGAACAAAGTAAGGATGACGCCCCAAGAAAACTAAAGAAGGGCGACTGAGTGAATGGCTCAGTCACACATGAGCTCCTTGGCTGAGAGGGAACTAGAGCATGGGTGTCCAGAGTTCCCATGCAGTATTAAAAACATTGTCTGCATACAAAGCATTTCTTATAAAGAAATTACATTGAGGCTCACTTCACAAGATTCCTTACAATGGGATGTCAATGGAGTCCCGAGAAGGGTGCTCGTTGAACACAATGTTGGGGAAGATGTAATGAAAGTGTGATGCCATCCCCCCAATGAGGAGCTCGCCCGCCTGGTGCCACTCTTGTGGGATGGGAAGGGGAACGTTTCCGGTGCACTTCATCTTCTGAGTCTTAATTGCTGTGTGTGGGATGAGTAACCCCACCAGGGCCACAGTCAGCATGTTCTCCCTGGCAAACGTCCTTCTTGCCTTCCTTTCTTCCATAACACTCTCCACAGAGTCATTGCTATGCTCAATTGTCTACATCCACGCTGAGTTCAGGGGGCTGCTGACTCTGCAATGCACTGCTTAAGGTGCAAAAGTCTTCTCTCCAGTGCTGCTAGGTGGCTTCTTTCATGCCAAGAGATACCCAGTGATTTGAAGCCAAGATATACCTGGCAGGGGGAACGTGTGCAACCTTTCAGAAGTCTATGGATTTCTAGCCTGCAATGTTATGTGTGAACAGCATGCTATGTGTGTGTGCTTTCAATATCCATCTACACCTTCGGAGTTGTATCTTTCTCCCTATTGTTTTGCCTGAAGGCACTGGAGATTTGGCTTCCTGCCTTAATGACGATGCTTCTGATTGGAGTTGATGAAGATAATAACACTGGATACCATGTGTAATCCCAGCTCCCAGACAACCAGT